GTTCTTTCTGTATTCTAGTGGCATTCTTTACCACCCACAATGCTACAGGAACAATAATTTTAAGAATAATACTTTATACAATAGGTTTTAAATAGTGTTATATGCATTCGTTTATACTGTATTTTTTAATAATTAGTAAATAAATTTTTTATCAGCCATTTTTTTTTCATTATAAGTAATACACCAATGCAACTAGTCAATCATAAAAAACAAAAATTGCAATAAGGAATAGTTTTCTTCCTAATCCCCTTTCTGCCCACCCCAAGATTTTAACTTAAGAATATGATGTAAATCCAAATAAAATCACTTCAAAAAAAAATAGAAGATTTCAATTCATAACTAAAATGTCATGTAAAATTTTATAGAATTCAAGCTCATCAGCTCACAACTACTGAGACATATATCAGTTCGGGGGATGAATCTTATATAACTTGCTTCAAGGGCTAATGTGCTGCAATGATTTGGGAGATTTTTTTATCAGAAAGCCTTCTATTATCTTTTTAACAGTGAAGGTTAGATCAGGTCAAGGATACAGAGAAGAAAAGTGCTAAAAGGAAAAAATTTCGTATTTTCACTTTCACAACATAGACAAGCACCAACAACCTAATTAATCCCTTTTTACTATAGTAGAATTTCCCTCTTTTTTAAGGCAGCGTTAAACAACTACTTCTACGTTTCGCTAACAAATACCCGAGGCTTTATTCATTGTCAACAGAAAGAAATAATCAAATTTCATGAATGGGGAATTGGATCAATGGAGCTTGGAAGTGGAACTTACAGTGGAGGAGGTGCTTGCATAGCTGGGAAAAGCAATAGGAGGAAGAGCTGCAAAGGGAGATCCAAGAAATTAAAATCACAAGAGGAAAACCAAACTTGAGGGAGTGGGTCCACAACAACGAGGGGAGATACACAACGAGGACAGCTTACCAAATTCTAACAAAGGAGAATAGTTCAAATCAACAAGGAGCAGTGCTTCACAAAGTCTGGAATGTGTTTATCCCCAGCAAAATAGCGGCTTTCTCATGGCAAGTGTTGTAAGACAAAATACCAACAAAACTCAATCTGTTAAAAAGGGGGATCATACGAGAAATTGGAGAATGCAAATGTGTCTTTTGTGGAGTTGCATTGGAGGATACCAGCCATTTGTTCATCCATTGCAAAGTAGCTTATAGCATATGGAATGCATGTTTTAAATGGTGGGGAGTAAAAACTGCATTGGATAGGGACTGCGGTAAGGTACTGGAACAACATCCAAATTTGATTAAAAATAAAGGGGAAAAGAAGGGGTGGGAGTGCATCTGGTTCTCTATTGTATGGTCGATTTGGTTAGCTAGAAATGAAAAAGTATTTAGAGGGAAAGATGCAGATAGAGATAGGATTTTGGAGCTTGTTCAACTAAGGGCATTCAACTGGATAAAATGCAAAGGAAGAGGAGGTTTTTTCTCATTGGCGGACTGGTTCCACAACCCGGCTGGTTGCTTGGAGATGAGCTATGGCAACAGAAAGAGCATGAACAGTGAAAAATGGAGAAATTGAAAAAGAGGACAGAAACCCGTCACGGATGTGGTGTCGACATCAAAATTCGACACATAATTTTGGTGTCGACACCATACGATAAGCATCAGAATTCACTGGGTTTGATCGGAACAGTGAGAAATGAAGAAATTGCAAAAGAGGACAAAAATTCGACACGTGTGTGGTGTCGACACCATACTGCAAGCATCAAGATTCCGACACGGACGTGTGGTTTTGACACACAATTTTGGTGTCGACACCACACAGAAGGGCTAATTGACTCATGTAATTTATGCCTTTCAAGTTGAGATGTTAATGGCTTTGGGGTACCCCTTGTACTCCCTTTTTTAATAATAAATATTACTTTTGCCGTTCAAAAAAAAAAAACTACTTCTACTTTTTGCAATTTGTATATAAAAAAATTAAAAATTAAAAATAAAAAATGCGATTTATAGTTCATATATAAATATATAGAGAAAAGTAAAATGCAATTTTTTTTTCTTTTGATAAGAAATGGAGAAATTATACTAATAAAAAAGAAGTATAGAAAAACTCCATTGTAGGGCATATAGCCTAAAGCATTATAACCTGAAGACAAAATTATAAGCATAACCTACAACACTAGTATCAGATTTAAACTATACTCATAATGAATATAGATAATTAAGTAAGGAGAGCCATCTGCAACTAAAGATTACGATTGCAATCACTGTATGAGTTAAATAGTGCTACTAAAGTAGAAAGGAAGGTCCCTTTGAGCATTAGAAGCTACTAGGCGTTCTCATCTATTTAACCAGCTTCATGGGGACAGCAAGGATTCTGACAACAAACCATCCCCAACCTGCATGTTGCCTCCCAATCTATGTCTAAAAATTAACCAACAAAAGAAGGGGCATAGTACCCCTTGTACAAGCACAGTGCTACCTAGCCTTGGATGCGATACTTCCTTTGTAGAACACGATCGACCTCACCAATTTTGCCGATCCTCTGTACAAACACAGGCATCCCAGTCGCCACCGAATACCCCCAATCAGGTTTCCAACTTTGCTAAACCTCTGCAATCTCATACTGCCAAGACCCATTAAGGGAACTAGAGCTCCTTTGCTAGCTTGAACATCACGCTTCCCGTGCCACCCACAACCGGCATCACCCATAGCATCTTTTTCCCTCCGGAGTCAGCAGCCTGATTGGAAATTGGAATGAACTAACCGTGCCGAATTTGATCCCCGCCAACATCCTATCTTGGGAGATGCCCTACACGATAAATAGGAGAAAACCAACCACTAGCAGGATCAATTCCCTCCCTATGCCAGTTGAATCCTTCGAAAAACACCCCCAGATGTAGATCTGAATAGGCCACTGCCTTGTGGTCCCTTGGGTTGAAGTTTCCAAAGCAAGACGAGTGACGAAGGTGGAGAAGAGAGCAAGAAGGGGAAGGAGAGGGTAAGAGGAAAGCAGAGCTTTGCTACCAGAGAAGGACCCGAATGAGGAACCCGCCACCTCTGCCCCAACCCTAGAAGAGCACAGGAGAAATCTAGTATGCAACCACAAAAGTAACATGCAATTTAAGCAGGGTGAATTATACATCTTATTATTACTGATGAGGTGCGGGCCAAAACTTTTTCAATGGGATTGCAACCAATATTTGCCCATAGTTTTTGTCTCATTTAAAAATTTTTGTCTTGTTGAGAAAGGGGAAGAGATCCTATCTCTTTCTTTTGGCCAAATAGAACCTTGAATATAATTTTTTTCTCATTGTTTTTAATTCTTGATTATAATGTTAAGTAGTAAGGGATTTGGAATTTGCTTTTATCCTTATTACTAATTCTTATCTTCTCTAATCAAAGAAAATTGGAACAAATTATTGTGCCATTATGATGCTAACTGATCGTTATCTTTTCTAACCATGGATCTAATAAGATGAAACATTACATAACCTTTGTTTAAACCTCGATTAATTGTCTAGTTATAGAAAATCATGCCCAAAAAGAATCAAGTTCCTCTTAAACCTACGTGAAACATGGTAAGACAAATATTGTATTATTGTTACATAAAAAATAAAAAAAAAAAGGAAGAAAGAAAGAAACACTTCCTCATAAGATAGATTGTGTAATTTTATAAAGTTAACAGAAAATAAAAGGAATTTTATTTTTTAAATAAAGAGACAAATCAGTAGACATAAACAGCACAATACACGTGAATTAGAAAAAATCCAGAAGAAAGCTGGTGTGTATAGGAGTTAAACCATGTCGCTTCCTTTCTGCCTTTCTGGTAAGCAGGCGATATGATCTTTTTAGTCAAAAAAGGAGGAGGAAATTATGCCCTTGTAACACGTTTATGAGATGTTGACACAAAATAAATAAATTAAAGGAAATGTTATTGGAATAATTATTTTATATTATTTTTTTTATTGTATTTGATATATTATTAAAATGATTAATTTTTTTAATTTATATGAAATTCATGATATTGAATATATCTATTTATTTAATAATATGTTAAAATTATATAACAAAATTAGATAAAAAAATTATTTTTATAATATTATTTATAAATAAATAAATAAATAAAATACTAATTAAGAGAACGTCATTTAATGTGGTGCTAACTAGTCAATAAACAAATTACAAATTGTCAGAAATTACACCAAACACCAATAAGGCAGATCTCATCCAGGAGTTGTAAGCCTTTTTGCAAGTGACAAAAACATGATTAATATCTTCCTAGCTCGCTTTTTCGGTACAGAACACAGCCCAGATGGATATCAATTCCCCTGAAAAAAATTTTCTTTTGTTGGGAGCCTGTTGATCATAGGCGCCAATCAAAAGCACCCACTTTGAAGGAGTTTTTTTTCCTACTGTTTCAAGGAGCACTCATGTATGTATGATATTGTATGTATCTGCTCACTTAA